AGAACACATGGCTGCCCACCTAGGAGATGGTCAGACTTCTTTGTCAAAACCCTGAACGAACGGTTTGAGGCTCTTCATGTTCCTGGAGTGAGCAGACACCATTGGACTATACTAGCTCGTGACAGGGACGAATGGAGACGTTACTGGCAACCGCAGAGCAAATCTATGATGAACGGGATAACAAATGACAAGTGACAAGTTTATAAAATATAGCATTAATAGTATTAGAAACAATTTATAATTCTATAATATATAACAGCAAACAACAACCTACAATAAACAATAAGTAATATGCTTAATTTATAGTCGAGCTTTACTATTGTAGGGCTTCTCATTCTTTCTTGAAATTTTTGCTCAGTGCCAAGCAAATATGACCAGTGATCTGACAACACTATGAAACACCTGAACATAAGTTTTCTTCTTCTTTTTTTTATGTAGGAGTACTGCTATTTATTCAGCCATTAATTAGGCTGATTGAATTGGGCATGAACTCTACCTTACTTTTTTTCCCCATTTTTTATAATTTTATTTATTGAATCACCGTGAGAGCAGTTACAAAGCTTTCGGGTTTAAGTCTCGGTCATACAATGAAACACCCGTATCTTCACCAGTGCCCTTTATCCACCACCAAAATTCCCAGTATACCCCCATCCCACACCTTCCTCCTACCTGTGGGGCAGATGACTTCCAAATTAATCTCTCTCTACTTTGATTACATTCAATGTTTTGACACCACACCCACCATTATTATTTGGGATTTTACCCCAATACTCAGATCTGCCAAAAAGGCAACAGTAGACAATTTGTTTTCTATTTATGGTTATGAATAACATATGATGTAGCGTGGCTACAGTAGTGGCTGTGTGATTTTGAAATTCTGAAATTTTAACAATTAAATCTGGAGGGATTTCTTGCCAAAACCTGCTGGGTTTTGGGGCCACACTTTGTTACATTTTGTCTGTCCTCTTGTATCTTGATATGATCGGATACTTTGAGATTTGTTCCTGAGTCTCTGGGATCATGGCCATTAAGCAGCTTGATCAGGAGCCAGAGAGGCTGTTTGTGGGTGGTGACTCAGGGTCTCGTTAGGACGGGGAAGAAAGGGCCGGCTCCACCCCCATCCTGTGAGGCCCCACACGTGTCTTATCACTGTGGGCCCAAACCTAACTGTCCAATGGTTTCTGGAAAATGGCAGCCACCGGGCCACCAGGGAGAACAGGCCAAGGCATGAAACCTATTTCCATGTGGGGTGGTCCATCGCCAGTAACCTACTGCAGGGACAGGACACATTTCTTCCAAAAGCCGCTGGGTTCTGAGATTTGTTTCTGAGTCTCTGGGATTATGGCCATTAAGTGGCTTGATCAGGAGCCAGAGAGGCCGTTCGTGGGCAGTGACTCGGGGTCTTGTTGGGACAGGGAGGAAAGGCCCGGGTCCACCCCCATCCCGTGAGGCCCTGCATGTCTCGTCGCTGAGGGCCCAAACCTGACTGTCCAATAGCCTCTGGCAGATGGCGGCCACCGAGCCGTCAAGGGGGAGCAGGAGGAGGGTCAGCACCCTTTCCCCCCTGGAGTGGCCCGGCAACAGTAACCTACTGCGTGGTCCGCACACATTTCTGCCAAAAGCTGTTGAGTTCCGAGATTTGTTTCTGAGCCTTTAGGATGATGGTCATTAAGCGGCTTGATTAGGAGCCAGAGAGGGCGTTTGTGGGCGGTGACTCAGGGTCTCGTTGGGACAAGTAAGAAAGGGCTGGCTCCAGCCCCATTCCTTGAGGCCTCCCGTGTCTCGTCACTGCGGGCCCAAGCCTGTCTGTTCAATGGCCTCTGGAAGATGGCAGCCACCAACCACCTCGGGGGAGCAGAGGGAGGGACAACACCCTTTCCCCCACTGGGGTGGCCCGGCGACAGTAACCTACTGCGCGGTCCAGACACATTTCTGCCAAAAGCTGCTGGGTTTCGAGATTTGTTTCTGAGTCTCTGGGATCATGCTGTTAAGTAGCTTAATGAGGAGCCAGAGAGGCCGTTCGTGGGCAGCGACTTGGGGTCTCGTTCAGATGGGGAGGAAAGGGCCAACTCCACCCCTATCCCATGAGGTCCCTCGTGTCTTGTCACTGCAGGCCCAAGCCTGACTGTCCTGTGGCCTCTGGAGGAGGGGGAACAGGCCAAGGCACAAAACCTATTCCCACCTTGGGTGGCCTGGCACCAGTATCCTACTGCAGGTGATGTAGGCAGGTAGATAGGGAAAGGCTCTTTGCAATGAAACAAAGTTTCATGGAAGAAGAATTTTAGGACCGACCCACCCTGTGGACACAGAGAATAAAGACTTGATAAGACCATCCCCAGACGTTGAAAATATGGGCCTCCTCCCCATGAAATTCCTCCTTTCCAAAACCCCCCCTTTCAATCCAGTTAACTCCAGCAACCCAGCCCCAAGGAGATTCCAGAACATTCCGAGTCAGAAGGATCTATAAGAGCCAGCTCGAGAGCCCACTTGGGGCTCTCTCCACCCTCGGAGAAGCCCACGTTCCCTCTGGACGCGTTACTCTCTCTCTTACTCTTCATTCCCCCCGCTTATCTGCTTATCCCTTTCTCTCCCTCTCCAAAAGCCTCCAAATAAAACCTATTACTTTACTGCTCGTCTACTCCTGAAATTCTTTTCTGCGAGTGAGACAAGAACCCTAGAAAACCCGGGTAAGGCTTGGGACTGTTCTCTCCTTTCCTGCAAAGAGCGAATTCTCGCCCCAACTTGAGTCCTTGGCTCCCTGAGCAATCGGGTGGCGGCGATTAACTCCCGTGCCGAGAAGATCAAGCGGACTTCAGGTGTGGCTTGACGGCCACCTTGTGGGGCTGGCGGGGCTTAGGCCCGTGCCGAGCAGGTGCTCACTGCAGACTTTACCGGTCCTAGCCTACCCAGGGGCTCTTGGGTGGCAGAGATGGAGTGAGAGAGAGTGACCGTCTTTTTCTCCTCCCGACTCGCATAAGTCACCCGTGGGGCCCACAGACATCACAGGGACCAGGTGCATTTGTGCCAAAAGCCGTTGGGTTTCGAGATTTGTTTCTGAGTCTTGCGATCATGGCCATTAAGCAGTTTGATCAGGAACCAGAGAGGCCATGCCTCCAATTATACAGCTGAGCTGGAGGTGATTTGTGGGTGTGTCTCCCACATACCTAACTTTCGGCCGTTTACTTTCTCTGGTAAACTTTGCCCCAAGTTTTTGGGGTCTGGCCAAAGGCACAGCAGCAATTTTGGGGTATCAGAAAGTCTGAAGGCGCCAGGAGGCTGCTGATGCACTTGCCTCACAGGTATAGATTGACCTGCCGGTGGCACCAATACCCCCTGAACATAAGCTTTCAATGTGACTGGTGAGAAATTGCAATCTCATTTGCATGCTCATATAAATTGGAAAGGAGTTTTCTGCTATTTCCCAAACACCATGAGTGTTTTCTAAATGTGATGCATGTTTTAGCATGCTTAGGACTTGATGCCAGTACAGAAATGGTTCTCAGCATAAGGGCACTTAAAACTAACCCATCAGGGCTGGAGTGATAGCACAGTGGCTAGGGCGTTTGCCTTGCACGCAGCCAACATGACCGACACAGGTTCGATTCCCAGCACCCCTTATGGTCCCCTGAGCACCGCCAGGAGCAATTCCTGAGTGCATGAGCCAGGAGTAACCCCTGAGCATTGCCGGGTGTGACCCAAAAAGAGAAAAAAAAACTAACCTATCAACCAACGGTTTTCCAAATCTTATGTAATTCCTAAATTTACTGTATATTCAATCCCCAACCATTTGGGGGAGGTAGTAGTTTGAAGCATAGGTCTCCCTGTCTCCATTGCCACCTTCAAAAAAGTGGAGGATAGGCTGGAGCAATAGCACAATGGGTAGGGTTGTTTGCCTGCTGGTCCCCTGAGCACAGTCAGGAGTAATTCCTGAATGAAGAGCCGGGAGTAACCCCTGTGCATCACCGGGTGTGACCCATAAAGGAAAATAAAACAACAAACAAACAGAGGAACCACTGAATAAAATGTGGGGAGTTGTTGGTAAGAAAAAAAAAGTACATAAGCTGGAAATCAGAACTAGAAGCACAGGCTGTGGAATAAGCTTCAAAGCAAGAAGTGAGGGTCTGAATTTATGATGGGCGGAGGTAGGGCTACTTAAGTTGTCTCTCTATAATTAGCAGTTTTTCAAGAAATTCATGCATATTTTTTAGATGCAATGCTCAGCATGCACCGCTGAGGAACAACACAATGGACATACACCGCATCTACAGAGAGTGGTGGAGAAATCTCAGCAGGGATGTGCTTTTGATTTACTAGGGCAGTGCGGGGAAAGGTATTAGGTACTAGGTTGAGGAGACCTCTACTGACCAGTACTGTCCAGTGAGGGTCTGGGTCCTCACCAGTACCAAGAAGCTGTAAGGTGGGCAACGGCGGAGACACTGTCAGAGTATCCCCAAGGCTGACGCGTAGTAGGCAATTGTCTCCGATTTTTAACAAGTATAAGTGGAGCAAAAACTGTTAACATATGTTGGCAAGAAAACAGAAAAAAAAAAAAAGCTTAGGTAAAAGAACCTTTACAGGACGAGGAAACGGACTCAGAAGAGAAAAGCTTCGCTCTAGCGTCGGGAAGGGAAGGCAGGGCTGTTGGGAGCACCAGAACGGGAGTCCTCTCTCCTCTCCCGGGGGTGGGGGGGTCAGCCTCTGCAAGGCACGAGAGCTTACGAGCACAATCTTATGTGTGTGGAGCTCTGCACCAAGATAGATACCCGAGAGCCCTGAGATCAGTGCCCGGTCCTCGGTCAACGATCGGGCTCAAGTCCCCGGTCTTGCAGCACGCTCGGGGCCAAGAACCGTCTCTGGTCTCCGGAATTTGCTCAGCATCTCTCCAACCAGCTCAGAGAAGGCCCGGGGGGACCGGAAAGCTGCGGGCGGAAAACGGGCGGGTTCGGTTCCCGGGGGGGATCCTGGCGGGGACGGACCGGTCCCGCCCCTTCCGGCCGCTCTTCGCCGCACGTGGCTCCGACCCGGTGCAGCCCCGGGACTCCCGGGCTCCTTCTGCCTTGAGTGGGTGAATTGCGCCGAGGACGTCACCATGGTGGGCTCCCTCCCGCTCCCCAGAAGACCCCCGGGCGGCCGGCGACGGGGAGGGGGCGGGCTGGAGGAAGTCGCCGGCGGAGGAGGCGGAGCGCCTGGCGGTGCCTGAGTGCGGGACTCGGGAAGGAGCGGGGTCTGATGCGCTAGCACCTCCCGCGCTAGCACCTCCCGCGGCCTCGCGTTGCAAACTTCCCAGTGATCGCGGCGTGTGTGTGTTTGTGTGTATGTTGCAAACTTCTCAGTGATCGCGGCGTGTGTATGTGTGTTTGTGTGTATGTTGCAAACTTCTCAGTGATCGCGGCGTGTGTGTGTTTGTGTGTGTGTGTGTGTGTGTGTCTGCGCGCGCGTGTGTTGCAGACTTCTCAGTGATGGCGGCGTGTGTGTGCGTTGAGTGAGAGCCGGTGTTGGGAGGTCAGCAGACTCCCGTGACAAACTTATGTGATCGCGGCTCGTGTGTGTGTGTGTGTGTGTGTGTGCGCGCGTGTGTTTCCGTTACAAGCTGCTGTGATCGCGGCGTGTGTGTCTGTGTGTGCGTGTTTGTGCGTCGCAAACTTCTCAGTGTTCGCGGCGTGTGTGTGCGGGCACGCTGCGATTTCTCAATGATCGCGGGGTGTGTATGTTTGTGTGTGTGTGTCAGTGTCTGTGTCTCTGTCTATCTGTCTGTCTGTCTAGAGCGGGTGTTGGGGTTCAGCAGACTCCTGTTACAAACTTATGTGTTCGCGTCTCGCGTATGACTGTGTGTGTGTGTGTGTGTGACTTGAGAGCCGGAGTTTGGGTTCCCTCCCCACGTGAGAGTTGAGTAACTGAGAGCAGGAGTTGGGGTTCAGCAGCCCCACGTTTGAATCTTCTCAAACCTGGTGGCTCCTGTGTCTGTGTTGAGATGAAGAGTTGTGGTTAGCCGCTCACTGTGTGTGTTGGGAGTTGAGGTCCCTAAGAGCTTACCCAGACCTCTTTCTCCCCCTCCCTCCCCTTTTTGGGCTTTATGGCTTGCAAATACACACACTGGAAGGTTATCGTGTATATCCCTTTACCTACTTTCAACACACAGTTCTTGTCCAGAGTGAGCATTTCTCATTGTGTTTTACTGTGTTTTTCATGTTTTGTTAGCTTTACTAAGATTTTTGCAGTTCTCTCTCCCCCACCCCACCCCCAACTTTATTTTTTGTCTTGGTCTGTGTGCTTTTGATGTAAAATCCAAAACATAAAACAGTGAAAAGACCTACATCAAGGACATTTTGGTTGCTTCTAGTTTTGCACTTCCAAGTTTTTTACTGTTAGTTTTTCTGTTTGTTTGCTTTATTGGGGGGTGGAGGGGGGGCGCTTACCCTTGTGTGTTACAACCTGTAAGCTTAATAACACTTAAAGAGTTTAACTGGTAGTGAGACCTTGCTTATGAAGATTAGGAACTAAACAAAAGATGCCAATATTTACCTGACCTTTTGGGGAACAATATATTATGTAAAACAAAGCTACTAAAAATGTCCTAAAAAGTGTAGTCATTTCTTATGACTGCTCTGAAAAGTTAACGCAAGTCTTTTTTTTTTTTTTAACATCAAACAAGACTGATTCTCTTGTATTTCTAGAGGTCAGAAATCCAAAAACACAAATCCAAACAGCAAAAATCAGGCCTGCCTTTTTTCATTGAAGAAGCTCTGTCCTTTTTATCTCTAGTTAGTGGAAGTTGTACCTTTATCAGTTTCCCAGATGTCCATTCAGATACATATGTGTATGTTAGCAAACACATACAACTTTCCTCTTATTTCCACCCCTCACCCCCACTTTTTTATGCTTTTGTTTATGGACAACACCTGGCTCAGGGTCATTTCTGCTCTGTGCTTAAGTATGACTCCTGCTGAAGCCCAGGGGACCATTTTGGGTACTGGGGATCAAACCATGGTCGGCTTCATGCTGGGCCAGTGCCTTGCCCACTGTACTAGCTCTCCAACCCCCACTTAAACTAATTTCTAAGTCTTTTTGATCATGTATTTGTATTTTCTATAAATATTCTAAGAATCATCAGAGAATCAGCATTTATTTATTTGGAGAACTCCCAACTAATGGAAGTTAAGGAAACTATCTTAAATGGCTGCTTACTAGATTAACATTTTGTTGAGTTTTACTTCTGTTTTCCTCTGTTGAAGCTCCTAAAAATTTTGAGTATGTTGAAAACTGAAAATGTTTAAAATTTATAGGTTTCTTTATGCATATTTCTGTGCTTTCTTATATTTTGCCCTGAGAAACCTTTTTGTGAATAAATCATTACAAGGAATCAAGATCTATAATTGAATGAAGTTTCTTTGTTCATCTTTGAACCTGGCCTTGGAGGTCTTTCCACTGAGATCTTCTAAAGTACTGAGAACACTGCTGTGCTCCTGGGCTATCAGCTACTTTTTTCCCTGAAGACATTTTAAATGTTTTAAAGGGGAGTTTCTTAGACTTGAGCATACCGAAGAGACTGATGCACAACTATGTAACTTTTGTTACTAAGTTCTAATAGTTTCAAAACGCTAGTTTCAAAGTGCATCTTATTTTTTTATGGAGATTTTTTCAGACTTTATTTTTTTAGGCATGATAATGTAATTTTATTTATTTTTTAAATTTTTATTAGTGAAACACCATGAGGTACAGTTGTAGACTTAGAAATTTTTGTGCTTGGGTTTCAGTTATACAATGATCAAGTTTTTTCAGACTTTTAAAAGCATTCAGTTAATTTTTTAAAATATGGAATGCTTCAGATATTATCCTTATGGTATTTCATTTTAGTGTATGAGCTACCGCAGTGAGTACCTTAAAGGATTTTGTTGTACTTGGGCTTAAGATAACCTTAAGTAAAGGCCTACCTTTGCTGTATTTATTTAAATAAAGTAAAATCAATCTTTATTGGTTTGGGAGCCACACCTAGTGATGTACAGAGCTTGCTTGTCACTCTGTACTCAAGGATCACTCCTGGCTTGGGAGACCACATGTAAACTTAAGGATCTAACCTTGTCTAAGACAAGCAAGCACCCTACTCTCTGTACCATCACTCCAGCTCCCCGGGCTGTGACTTTACCCCAGGTTCACTTCAGCACTGCTTCTCCTTGGAGAGCTCCCCGGTGGGGCTCTGGTCCTAAACCCACCATAGCAGCCTGTGTGAATAGACTTTTGGCAGTAACATCTGCCCTGAGAACCTTGCTAAACGTGGACATCTTTTACCACTCCCATCTGTTCTAATTGGGGACCACACCTGGTGCTCAGGGACAACTGTTCACTCCTTGAGGGGGAAAGGGTCACTCCAGGCAGTGCTTAGGGGGTCATGTGGTACGGGGATCCAATCCTGGACCTCCCACATGAAAAGCATATACTCAGGTCTTTGAATGAATTACCCGACCCCTGATTGGAATATCTTTAAAGGTGAGCCCCTAAAAATGACATGGAAGTGTAGCATGTGACAGCAGAATACTTTCTTCCGGTCCATGGAGAAAGTCACAATGAGCTACCACATAGGAAGGAACTCAGGATTAATCTCTGTTGAGATTTAGAGTTGGAAGGAGGACCTAGAACACTGGAAGTTGTTCCGTACCCTGCTGTGAGCCCCTTACAGGCAGCTCCTTAGTGGGTCTGGAATCTCAGATGTGAACCAATAGCCATTTTGCTCATCTGCCAGCTTCATTTCATTTCATTTCATCATCCTGTTATTCGTCGATTGCCTCAAGCAGGCCCCAGTAACGTCTCTTTCATCCTAGCCCTGAGATTATATTCAAGGCTCTTTAGGAGAATGAGACCCATCATTGTTAGTGGTATTTGGCATATTTGGTACGCCACGGGGAGTTTGCCAGACTCTGCCCTGTGGGCAAGCTACATTCGATAGCCTGCAAGTTTGTCCAAAGTAGGAATGAGATAATAAGATGTCATAAAAAAGATGTCCTGATAAGATGCCGGCTTCAAGCTAAAGAATGTGTTACTGCTGTTTTCTGACCTGCAAAGTAGATACCGGTGCCCAGATTGCAGGGTCTGGCAAGATAGAGGGTCTGTATCCAGTGACCATTTCAAAGACCAGATCAGAACCAAATCTGTGTCCCAGGGAGAGGGAGCTGAAATGTGCACACTGGCCTGTGACTTTTCTTCTGGTGGATGCAGTAACAGAACGGCCTACAGAGAGTGGGTGTCTCAGGATGATGAACAGAGGTGTAAATGATTCATCTAGAAATATCCAGGGTTTTCTTAATTTCTAGGACAAAAGTCACATCCGAGGAAATCTTAGGATTTAGGGCTCTTCAACACAGGAGAAAGGGCGGGCCAGATGCAGCTCTGGGTGTTGGAGAAATATATAAATAATAATTGTGATGTGTGAACTCATCCCCGCCCCCCTTTTTTAATGGCAAATCTAAAAGCCTGGATTTAACCAGAAATGTTCAATAATGGTGGGAAAGAAAGTTATGCCCCTCTCCAATTAAAAAAGAAAATCAACCAAAGAAACTTTTTTTTTAAAGGCATTAAGAGATAAGTTTAAATAATTAAACAAAAAGTGTTAATAAAACAAAGACTAGTTCTTTGGAAAGATCAGTGAAGTATGCCCATGACGTAACTGTGTTAGGAAGAACAGCAAAATAAATCAACTCATTGTTCATAGTCATGTCCTGACCCTCAGCTTGAAACTCCCCTTGGGAAATGAGATGGCATCGGAGCAGGGCAGTCTCTTCCTCTCCGTGGAAGTCAGGAGGTACTTAGCAGGAGCAGGCAGGGAGTGGGACAGTCCCCTGGAAGGCTGGAGGCAAGACCTCGGCCCTTGCAGGGGTCCAGTGTCCGGTGAGAAAGATGCTCGCAGAGCTTTCTCCTGGGAAGGTGCCAGCTATACAAAGGAAAAAAAAATAAAGCAAAACTCAAAAGGTGAAAATTACCAGCATGATTAATGGAGAGGATTGAGTGAAATGTGACTTGGTGTGGGTTTGTTTGGGAATATAATCTGTGCTAAATTTGAGGTGGCTTCTCTTATGCTCAGTGTTCCTAAAATATGCTATGAGCCCAATTTTGATTCTATTGCCCTGTGTTTGGTGGGTAACTTCTGCAGCCAAGCTGCTGTTTTTCTTCCAGTCACCCGAATTTTTCAACACAGATTTCTGCCGGTGTTTCTTGACTGTCTGTGTTCTCTGTACCTATTGTGTGGTTGGGACAGTTGAACAGTTAAGTTCCTAGGCCCCTCTGCCTTTCAGTGGAAATTGTTTTGGAATATCTACTATGACTGTAACTGGAAATTGTCAGATAATATTAAGTCTGGCTTATTTCATGATTCTCAGCTTTTGTAGGTCATAGTATATCAGTTACATTTGCTGCTTTAAGAATACAATTGTTACTTTTGAGGGGATGGGGGTAAGGGGTGGAGGGGCACACCCAGCAGTGCTCAGGGCTTACTTCTGGCTCAATGTTCAGGGGTCAATCCCAGCAGTGCTCAGGGTACCATCTGCGTTTCTGTGACCTGAAGATTGCAAGACTTAACACTGTATTGCCTTTCTGACCTTCTATGTTACTGAATTTTAAAATTTGGTTTCATGAGCCAGAGCTGACAGTACAGCAAGTAGGGCACTTTCCCTGCAGGCAGCCTACCTGGGTTCAATCTTCAGCACCATGTATGGCCCCTGGACACTCACTACTGGTATTCTCTGAGCATAGCTGGGTGTGGCTCCCCAAGCAAAAACAAAAAATTTGTTTCAAGGACTGGAGATGCTGCAGTTGGTATGGTGCATGCTTTGCACTCAGCTGACCGGGATTTGATCCCTGAGCACCTCAGCTCCATAGTATGGCCCAGCAACCAAAAATAAACATCGTTTCTAAAGAAAATTTTTGACAGTCGTGATTTGTATCTGACTTTGTGTGTTGTATGCTCTCTTATTTTTCCAGCCTAAGATACCAAGAGGAAAAAATCTTGGACAGGAGAAAAAAGTCGTCCATCCATACAGTAGAAAAGCAGCTCAGATGACAAGAGAGGCCCACAAACAACAAAAAAAAGAGAAGTAAGTATTCATCATGTGTATTACGCATTGTGAAAAATAACCCAGTATACACTTTTTCTTCCTCTATATCCCCTTCCTGCTTTCAATAAGTATCTGTCAAGTATGATCTGTGTTCTGAAGTGAACAGGGACTGATCTCTTACAAAGCTTGAGCAGGCACACACATTTAAATGCATTACGTGGAATTCCATCAAAAATTTAAACTAAATATGGGAGGAGAGTGTGGGAGAGGTTCTGTTTGATATGGACCCTTCAGGATGTTATATTTGAACATTCTTTTTATTTTGGGGCGGGGGGTTCTTTTTGGATCACACCTGGTGATTCTCTGGCCTTAACTCCTTTGGCTCTGCAGATGGAAATTAATCCTGGCAGTGCTCAGAGGACCATATGGGATGCTGGGGATCGAACCCAGGTTGGCCACGTGCCAGGCAAATGTTCTACCCACTGTGGTGTCGCTCTGGCCCTGACATTTTGTGCACTCATTAGAGGAAGAGGAGCCAGTAAGTGAGACCACAGAGGAGGAAAAGGAAGAATTGTATTTCTAAGAGAAGCTAGTGATCAGTCTGTCATTTACTACTGGTGAATAAGAGGACTGTCCTCCCGTCGTTCATAGATTTGCTCGAGCAGGCCCAGTAACGTCTCTATTGTGACAATTGTTACTGTGTTTGGCATATCGAATACACCATGGGTAGTTTGCCAGGCTTTGCTGTGTGGGCGAGATACTCTCGGTAGCTTGCCAGGCTCTCCAAGAGGGGCAGAGGAATCGAGCCCGGCTTGGCCAGGCCAGCTGCACAGCCCTGCTGCTGTGCTAACCCTCCAGCCCTAATAGAGGACTGAAAACTGATATAGTAATTAGATGTACAAATGCATACATCAGGGCTGGTGAGGTAATACAGTGGGGAAGGCACTTGTCGCATAAGCCGCTGACCCAGATTTGGTCCCTAGCATCTTCTGTGGTCCCTTGATCCCAGCAGCGGTGATCCCTTATTGCAGAGCAGGAGGAAGCTCTAAGCATCACCCGGTGTAGCCCGCAAACCCAAACCAAAACCCTGCATAAATCAATTAGTGAGTTGGAAATTGTGGGAGATGTTTCATTAAAGTAACAGTATATGTAGAGCAAGTGACTCCTGGGAGCCAGTACTGGGCTGGTGGGCGTGCTGGAGGAGGCAGCCATGCTCCCAAGGAGGGCGCCACTCTTCGAGAGGGGCCAGCCCTCAGTCGGCAGGCCCTGTCCTGCACTGAGGCATGTGACCGTGTCTGGGTGCCGCTGCCCTAGGGTCATTGCACATGGGGGCATGTGCTGAGGAAGGTGGCTTCGGTTAAGGCTCACACAACGGGACATCAGGATGCTTGAGAATGCCAAGAAATTGATGGTGTTCCCTTGAATTTGTGTCCTTGGATTTGTTTTTTATATTTGCATCATCGCTGTTCTTCACATTAAATATCTTGAGAGAGGCTGGAGTATTTTGGTGTTCCTATAGACCAGAAGTATTAGTAAATGAAAAAATGAAGAGAAGGAAAATGAAATTTTTCTCTTCGTTTGCAGCAAGTTTGGGAACCAGTATCATCTATTCTGTAGTTTCACCTATTCTCTTAAGACATGAGACTAGTGACATATAATTTGCCTACAGATGACATTGTGATTTTAAAATGCAACAAAGCTGTCCTTGAGCCAGAACTGATCTTTCTTCATTCTAGTAAAGTTTGAAACAGTTCTGGCCAGATGACTGGGGCCAATGCCCATCCTAGGGGTGGTTCCACCGTGTGTCTTCCCAGATCCACATCCAACTGGCTGAGATAATTCAGCAAATGAAATTTTCAAAAATTTAAATAAAATTAAGTAAAATTTTAAAAAGTTACTAGTAAGACCAGTTCTAGCCGTAATTCCAAATACCAAAAGAACATAGATGTTCCAAACATGTTGCCTGTTTCGAAGGACAAATATAAGAATAAATTCTGTGCCACTGGACCTGGAGGTAGGCCCAGTTGAGCGTGGAAGAGACAAAATTCACACTAGGATCCAGTGTTGGTGCTATTCTAGGCACTTAAATAGAAATTTGTACTTCAGAAAGATATTTCCTGTGGCCAGAGAGACAGGGTAATAAAGCACTTGCTTTGCATGAGGCCAACCCAGGTTTAATCCATGGCCCCACATCCCTGATTTTTGGCCATGTATCCCAGTTTGAACCCTGGCATCCTGAGCAGTGCCAGGAGTGTACCCTAAGCATTGCCAGAAGTGGCTCCCAAACCACTATCAAGTGTTTTCTTTATGAATGAAAATAGGTCTTGAGAGTCCTCTTCGTTTTTGAGTCTAGAAATTTCTAGAAATTTCCAAGTTTGGATATGACACTGTTCAGGCAGAAGCTCTGTGAACTAGAGGAAGAGCAGAGAGGTGTGAATGGTGCTGATGGGGGCGGGGGGGGGGGGTGGCGTGAGCACTCTGTATCTGGAAGAGGGTAGAAATCTATCTGCCTCCATGTCAACCACTGCAGGAGAAGAACCATGTTTCTGCTCAATGAAGCGAGTTTATATAATATGGGTTATCTGAGTGTGGACATCTGAGGGACTGATGCCCCCCCCTTTTTTTTTCTTTTTGGGTCACGCCCAGAGATGTACAGGGGTTAACTCCTGGCTCTGCACTCAGGAATTACTCCTGGCGGTGCTCAGGGGATCATATGGGATGCTGGGGATCGAACCCGGATCAGCCGCATGCAAGGCAAATGCCCTACCCACTGTGCTATCACTCCAGCCCCAATTTATTTATTTATTTATTTATTTTGCTTTTTGTCTGATGCCCTTTCATACCCATCTCCTTCCTGGAGATGGCTTTGAGGATATGAGCTCTTGGTGTGCAGTTGGCTTGGATTTTAATTCCAAGCACGGCATGGTGTGCTGAGTACCGTGGACAGTAACCCCTGAGCACGTAGTGGGTAGTAGCTCCTGAGAACTTTTGTGTATAGCTCCAAAACCAAAAGAAAAAAAGAAAAACCTATCTGGTTTTGGACAATTCAGCAGCTATTGGGTGACACTGATACCTAGAATTCTAGATTCCTTTCAAAATGTATGTTAATGCCATTTACAGTTGCATATATAGGTCAGATGGCTTTCCGAAGAGTGACGTAGTAAATGACTGTGTCTTAGGCAGCAATCCTACTATATTTGGTAACTGAAACCATTTTACTACGTTAAGAAAGTAATGTTAAGCTGCTAAGCAAATGAAAGTATGATTGGATTTTTAAAAACAATTTCTTAAAGCGGAAATGACAGTGATTTAGAATGGTTAGTCTGTGAATCTTAAAAATTGGTAATGGTTTACTTGCTCTCCAGGAACTTGGGGAGATTGTCAAAGAATATAAAATTACCCTGTTCTATTAAGAGAGTTATGGTTTGAATCATACAGATGGGGCCTCCTAAAAATTCTTCTGAGTGATAATTGTTCTTAGAAACTGATTTTGAGTGTTAAGTGATAGAAATACATAAAGAATCATGGTCACGGTCCTCCCATTGTTCATCGATTTGCTTGAGCGGGCCCAGTAAGGTCTCCATCGTGAGATTTGTTACTGTGTTTGGCATATCAAATATGTCACGGGTAGCTTGCCAGGCTCTGCCGTGCGGGCGAGATACTCTCGGTAGCTTGCTGGGCTCTCCGAGAGGGGCGGAGGAATCGAACTCGGGTCGGCCATGTTGGCTAGATGCAAGGCAAGCGCCCTACCCGCTGTGCTATCGCTCCAGCCCACGTAAAGAATATTCTTGATAATTTTTTTTTCAATTCTTGCTATGTAAATATATACCTATCATTTTATATCCTTTTTGCTTGTTGCAATATTTTCTTCCTTTGTAAGTGATTATGCCATTTAAATTGAAAAAAATGCAAACACAGCCATAAGGCTCTATTTTTGTTACTTGTATGTTTATTTTTGAGTTCTTAGTAGCTCTGAAAATTACAACTGACATCTAAAACAGGGTAGCTATGTTTAATACCTTGTTACTTCCAATAGTATATAAAAATTTCCTCCATTGCTCTATTCCCTCCCATTCTTGGATACTTTTATTAAATAAATTACGTCTTTATACTTTATCTCTCTGTACACTATAAGCTTATAAGTACAGTCACTGTCACTGTCACTATCCTCCGTTGTTCATCGATTTGCTTGAGTGGGCCCAGTAACGTCTCCATTGGAGACTGTTGTTACTGTGTTTGGCATATTGAATACATCACGGGTAGCTTGCCAGGCTCTCCCGTGCGGGCGAGATGCCACAATTTATTTTATGCAGTTACCTTGTCAGTTAGAAGAGAAGATAGAAGGAAGATTAATAGATCCATGTGATTTTTTTTTTTGGTTTGTCTTATTTTTAGTGTGGGGGGCACATCTCTCTCTGCTCTGCCTTACTCCTGGCTTTGCTTCGGATCACTCCTGGTAGGCTTGTAGGAACGTACGTAGTGCCAGAGATCTACCCTGGGTCAGGTACTTCTAAGGTACCTTATCTATTGGACTATCTCTCTGGCTCCATATTGTCTTTTATATTTTCCTGTGTAATTTTTCTACTGGTTCTCCTTATTTCTTTTCATCTAGTAAGACTATCTTTTTTTCTCCTTTTCCTTTTTTTTTTTTATTCCCTTTCATTTTTGGGCCACATCTAGCAGTTGTAGATGTGCTTGGGCGCAGTGTATGCAGTGACAGATTGAACCAGGTTCAATAAGCCTTAACCCCTTTACTAGCTCTCCCACCTTATTTCTTAAAGGGCAGACCTGAAAACAATAGATCTCCTCAGTCTTGTTTACCTGAGAGTGCCTAAATATTTTTGAAGGACAGTTTTGCTGGTTATAGAGTTCTTGATTCAGGGCTCAAGAAATACTACAATGAGTGAGATGCTTCCCTTGCATTTGGCTATCCCGGAGTTGATCTCCAGAACCACATATGGTCCCCTAGACACCACCAGAACTGATCCCTGTGGACAGAGGTAGGGTTAAGACCTGAGCACAGCTGGGTGTAGCCCCCA